GTAGAAGTAAAGTAGAGGAGCTGGGAGAAAGGAAATAAGAGGTACGCATAAACATAAAAAACAAAGATTAGGAGTAGAATCTCTTAGGGAAAGTATATGTCTAAATATGTACGTATGTATGTATGTGTATACATGTATACGTGTATATCAATATCTACATATAAATATACCCATATAAGGAAGCAAAGAAAAGATGGACAGCTTTCAACATAATGTGCAGTATTTAATATATAGGCTTTCTTGAAATGAAAAGTTATTGCTATACATTCTGAATCCTCTCCTATATTCTGCTGTGCACATGACGTTTTTCTTTTCTTATTTTATATTTCTTTTTCTTTTCTTATTACGTATTTAAGTTTTAGTATTTGTCTAAAATAAAAATTTAAAAATGGACCTCCAGTGATGTCTACCTGAATTACATTTAATAATTTATATCCATCTTAAAACAGCATTTAGTATTTTAGAGCCCAATGTTTACCCTAAGACATCAGAAAGAAAAAGGAGCCACTGAACCATATATAAGGATCCCCTTAGGATGCATATTGTTGACTTAGTTTTAAAATGTAAGATTATCTATGTTTTATTGTATTTTTATTTTGCAAAATATTTTCCTATTTATATTTTAATCATGTTCAGGTCACATCCAAGAGTGTTGTGGGCCCTCTGTTTGATACCTCTGCTCTAAGAAGTCAACACCTCCTCAAGAAAGCAACTTAAAAGCAATTTGAAAAAAAGTGGTCACATGATTATTTTACCTATTTTGATCTTATAGTTTAAATGCAAGATAGAAGTATATGGAGGTCTGTGCCAGTCAGTCTGAAGTATTTTTTCCCCCTAGATACAATTTTTATCAATTATACCAAAAAAACCAGAAGTTAATCATTTTTAGAAGGCTTGGATAAATTATCTCTCTGTAGGAAATATGATCTTTAATTGTGGAATTCTTGGGAGGGAATCTATCCTGAATGAACCTGTTAAAAATGTTTAGTTTAATGAAATCAGATCAATTTCTAGTACGAGTAGTATGAGTTGTCATTAAATCAATAGCATGTGTAGTCTATTATTCTGATCCTTGATAGGAGCTCTTGTGTGGTCTATTAAAGACTGCCGGCATAAACTGTACATTAAAAATATTTTCCCTTTGCTCAGAATACTTAAGATAAAAATCTCTTAAATTTAAGAAAGTAGAAAGTAATGCTGATGATCACTTACATGCTAAACAGCTTAGCTTATCTTCCATTGAAATCATAATGGAAGATAAATGTGATGCAGAATATTCCCTTACCTCCAGGATTTCTTTTCATAACAAAGAATGTGATTTGCATCTGTCAATTATAAAAATCTTAAGACATTGAAAAGGGGAGAGCTTTAACTATAAAAAGAACTATGAAACTTTCTATTTGCAAACAGTATAAATGTATTTAATGAAATGTTTAAAGGTAAGAATCCCAAGAAACAGATTTTCAAACTTAAGAATAATTATCATAATAAGAATGCGATGTCATTTGTGTGAGTGGTTTGTTTTCTTCAGAAGATAAACCTTTAGGCCTAAATTTATCTCGCTCCATTGTTAGACACCAATCACCAGAAAGAAAGCTCCCAGAGGGTAAAGCAGGTAACTCCATCTAGTAGATTGCTACACCCTCAGCAGCAGCCACTCAATAAATACTCACAGGCACTGAAATTCGAAAGGCAGATCTACATTGTCTCTATCAGATGGAAACAGAATAACTGAATGGGAAAAGCTCAACTTACAGTTCATCTGTAGAAACTTTGAAACAGAAAGGAGTGGATTCATTAAATGGGAAATCAATAAGCATTTTACCACATATTCCTTTTTGTAAGAAATGTACATGTTGACTTTTCTATAGAATTAATGTGAATGTTTAGAAATTGCATTTGATTGCTTCCAATAAAGGGACTGCTTTCACTGTGTCAACCACTTAAAAGAATTCGATGACACTGTGTATACAATGAGAATTGGCCTGGCATGGAAGTTAGAGAGGGTCAGCCTTATAGAGTTAGGAAGATCTGGCATGAATCCTGCCTCCGACATCACGCATCAGCTGTGTGACCACAAGCAACTTATTTCATCTATCAGTTCATCAGGCAATTCTCCAATACTGTAAGTCAGTAAGGGGTTGCTGAAACTGGTAGAATTGGTAGAAGGAGTTTTTATGCCAGAAGGTCTTTAAAGTAAGAAATCATGGGTCTAGATTTTTAAAAAAACATGTACATTACCACTAAATATGCTTAGACATTTAAGGCATGCATGGCCAAATTTGATTTTGTGCCTTAATAGTAGTGATATCATTGACATTTTGCTTTTTAAAACTAAAACTTAAGCCTTTAAGAAAAAAAGAAAAGAAATAGTTATATGTGTTTTCCTAGAAGTAAGTTTGTTGTGAGTCATTCACATTACATAAACATCATACACTTTCCAGGTCAATTTACCCAACATGAATATCAATATCAAGCATCAATGATTAGGCATCATTGAAAAAAAAAAAGAAAATGCTCTGTTTTATATAACACTCAAATATTAAAACACGAATTCCCTTGAGAAGGGTCAATTTTATATTAGAAGTGACCACTTAACGTGCTGATCACCAGAAGGCTAATATGTTAAAATTCACTCAACTGAGCTTTCCCCAAGCTACCTGCATCAGTTTTAAATTGCCTGACAAGAAGACAACACAGGCACAGCAACCTGGACTTAAAGAGCACCCCCAACTGAAGACTCCATAGGACTAGATGATGTCTAAGGGAAAGTTCCCTCTGGTGCTATCAAGAATCCCAATTTTCATGACGCTCAAACATCTAAAAGTTTTTGTGAAGTCATCGATTCAGGATGATACGGACCATGGCCAGTTCACACCTGGCCATCCTGCGTGATGCTTGTCTGCATCTTCCCCACGAGCGTCACAGGTGGTCCACCAGACACGGAGAAGGCACCAACACTGAGGCTGCCCGTGTCACTGACCATCTCTCTTTATCTTACAATTCCTGCATGACATCTTTTACTCTTGTTCTTCCCTCTGAGTTTCCCAGTTGTCTTATAACACAATTTGTTCAAACTCACCATGGCTCCCTGACATCAAGCAAGGCTGGCAAAATGTCACTATTGAAAAGCTGGGACTTTTGTTTCATGGGAAGTTTGGGGTCAGTAAAGCTTTACAGCTTTCCCAAAGAAATCCAGGCTACTCTCATCTTCCAGGTCAACTCTGGGCTCAACTCACGGCCAACTGGATGACTGGTTCCCCATCCGTGTACTTTTAGATGAGCCTCTATAGCAGAGGCTCTTAATCTTGGGTCTTGGACCCCTTTGGCAGCATGTGCTGAAACCTATGGACTCTTCCTCAGAATACTGTTTTTAAATAACACAAAGTATTACAAAGGAAACAAAATTAAATTGAAATACAGATGTATAAATAGGAGAAAAAGCAAAACTTCCAAGTTCAAGGACACCAGCCACCTAAGCTGAGGATCCATATTACGGTGTCCTCACTGGTCTCTGCTTAAAGTCTCTGTCCATTCCAGGCTATACCCCACCCTGTTGCTCAGGTGATTTTCCTTAATCACAAGTCAGACCTTGTCACTCCTCTACTCTACCAATGCCAATAGCTTCCAACTGCCTCAGGATGATATATTAACTCTTTGTTTGACTCACTGCTTCTCCCACATGACCTTTCATCTCTAGTCTCCAGGACTTTGCCCTGGCTATTTCCTATGCTTGGAACGCTCTCCCTCCCCACCTCCACCTCTGCTAATCCTCTACGTCCTTCAAGGTTCAGCTTCAGCAGCACCTCTAGAAAGGAATCCTTTCCTGATCCTGTCAACTGGGAGCACCCTCCCTCCCTCCTTCCACTGTCTTATATGTATCATAGAGAGTAGACAGTCCTTGTCTACGTGGAGATGAGAGATGTACATGATGTCACCCCAGAGGGAATGTTGGTTCCTTTGAAGGCAGGAACTGTTTTTTTTTTTTTTTTTTGCTTGTACCCCTACTACTTTGCATAATGCCTGTCATATAGTAGGTACTTAATAAATATTGATTGACTGATATGATCCTATGACCTGGTCTAACATTTTCAACTGCTTAAGATGGCTAAGACAGACTAACATATAATATTAAACTAGAATGCAAATCAAAATATAAATTGAAATAAGCAACAGTATACTACTTGTTCTAACTGCTAATCATCAACTAGTGTAGTAATAATTAATTGACCGGAAGTTCTCCATAGTTGGTTATATGTGATAAATTACAAAATAAATAGTAAGGGATATTGATGATAAATGTATCAGACTATGACTATTAGTGATGGCATAACATCCTAGTTCACCAAAATTATATTAAGCATAGTATCAACTGTATTAACTCAGTTGGAGAAAAATGATGCAAATAAATAAATGGGTTTCAATTAATAAATTAAGTAGACAAATCTATAAGCATTTATTAAGTGCCTACAATCTCTCAGGTACTGTGCCAAATGCCAAAGGGAACCAAATTAAACTGAAGTAGAGATGTATAAAAAAAGAAAAAGAAATAATTACAAGTTCATGGCACCAGTTACTAGGCTGACGATCTACTTTGTGGCCTCCTGACTGATCTCCCTGCTTAAAGTCTCTCTCCATTCCACTAGGAGTAAGCTTAGGTAGAATAAGGATTCAGCAAAATGCAATGAAACACAGATAATTACAGTATATTCTATTTTTTTCCCATGGAAATCTGTAACACAAGTAATTATTATCTATACCACTCAAACCTTTTATACTGTACACGGACGTCCACTATGTTTTGTGGTATGTTTGTTTGGTCACTGTCTTTTCTAAACATCACATGGATATTGATGATTCATGTATTTCTTTTGCTGTATTAATTTTTGGGGAGAACATCAATCTTGCTTACTACCCCCCATGCCCTTTAGGTCACCCCTCAAAGTTTATAATCGGAATCAAGAGGAAATGAATATAGTAAAGGTTTTTAAGGAATTCACCTTTTGACCATCATGCTCAAAAGTCGAAAACCAGGGTTCAGCAGTTTCCATAAGGTGTGAAAACATTGCACTAAAAATGGAAGGGGAAAATGGTTATTAATTGCCATAGTAGAAAAGTTATTGAAAAGAATTTGTCAAAACAGTTTTTATACTTACTAGGCATCATGTTCCAGATACTCAGGGTTCAAAAGAGCTTTCATTTCCTCACTTAAAACAAAACAAAACAAAACAAAACACAAGTGAATAATCAAAGTTTGAATTTGGGTCAGCACTCTCCATTTACCACTATAAAGAAAACCATATTCCTCCAGATAGTTCAAATGAGAAAAATTAGCTCTCTTAAATGAAAAGAGAAACTCTATTGAATAAATAAAGTCTTTCCTTTCTATTAAGATCAAAAACAAATTAGTTGCCTCGTCGGCACTACAATGAAGTAGCTATCTTATTATTCCAAATAACAAATTACTGAATGTCACAATAGAAACCTTGACTATGCTTGATCTAGAATAATTGATTACTCTACAATCTATCACTGTTTGTCCAAAAGGGAAAAAAAATGGTTACTGGTCAAATTTGCAATATAAAAACATTAATTTATTTTGTTTTAATAGCTTCTATTTTTATTGTATTTTAACAGCAATTAATCAGTGACAGCTCTTCCTATCAATCTAGTCTACAGTATTACTTAACTTTTTTGATGGATAACGCCTATTGATAAAATAGCATTTTTCCCCCCTGGCAATGAACTATCCCTTATTTTTTTAAGTGAAGTAAATTCTATACATAATATTTTATGTAATTTTTTTAAACAACAATGTACAAAAACAATTTATGCAAACACACTACTCCAATAATCACAATGGATACAGCAGAAGAAAGTTTATGTAGAAACTAAAGTTAAAATTGTTGAGCTTCAAAAAACACAAGAAGATTAAAAATATTAACATATTTGACTAGAAGGTAAACAAAAATATTAGTATAACTTACTGGGTTAAAAGAAAGCTAGAATGCTATGTAAAATATAGACAAGACACTTATAAAGTAATGGGAGCAGAGGAAGGTCAAAGCATAAAAACAGTTATTACATAAAGGAGAATGAGAGAAGTAAAAAGGAGAAAGTCAAATAAAATGCCTTAAGAATTTTAAGAGAAGGAAGAGAAATCAGCCCCGGGGAGGAGAAGGGAGAAAGGGAATCATGCAGGGTTTATTCAAGTTTGGCCAAGAAAGAAGAAGAAGAGGGGGAAGAATGAGAACAGGGGATTAAGACTCATTAAGTTGGACTAGAACTTGGAACATGAAAGGGAGAGGCAGGAGGAGACTGGTTTGAGCCAAGAATAAAGACAGACTCTGAAGTGTAAACTTCTAGTCAATTAACAAATGGGGAAAAACCTGGCGAAATACCCTGTATCGACATTTTTATTAGTCAGATATGGATTATAAGATTATTCACAATCATTCGTCTCTCCCCTTCCTTCACCCTTGTCCTCTCTGCCCAGAGCTGGAGGTTAGCCAGCAATGGCCAGATGACCACTTCTCAGCTATCTTCCAGATCACTTACTGCAGACTGCTGTTTGGCTGTTTTCAGTTGTATCTGACTCTTTGTGACCCCAGCTGGGGTTTTCTTGGAACAGATACTGGAGTGGTTTGCGATTTCCTTCTCCAGCTCATTTTACAGATGAGGAAACTGAGGCACACAGGATGAAGTGACTTGCTCAGGGTCACACAGCTATTAAGTGTCTGAGGCCAGATTTGAACTCAAGAAGGTGAGTCTTCCTGACTCTAGGCCTGGTGGCGCCACCTAGCTGACCTGTACCATGGACTAGGCAGCCCTGTAGTTTGTTTCTATCATTGAGATGCTGGGATTCTTGGCTAAGCCCACTTTCCATGTAGTTGGTCTGTCTCAGCATATACAAATTAACTTTACCACTGGCATAATGTGTTTGTTTTACCAGGTGACAAAGTCATTCAATATTTTCCCTAAACAAATTAAACGATCTTTGAATTATTTACTGTTTGGTGTTATCTTTGTCACAGTTCCTTTCCATTAGGAATGGGGACATTTCATTTCATCTTTATGACAGTTGATTTCCTTTAGCAAATGAGGTAGTGCAGATCTGGAAATGAGAGACTGGATCTTGGGGTCAAGGTCCTAGGTGAACTTAGAGCTCTTTATGTGAACAAGCTCACAGGGATTTTCACGTTTATCTTAATAGAGCAGATTTCTTCTGATTAGCTCACCAAAGTGCTCATCTTCCTTTGGAGCCAAATTGGCCTATTTGCTTCTACTTTCCTCTGTGCCCCTGTTCTTGATATTCTTAATGTATCCCTTGAATGTCCACTTGGTAACAACAACCACCTGTCATGTTCTAATTTGCATTATGGTTATTGGCATAAGCCTACTAGACTACAAACTCACAAGTTCTTATTTCATCTCTGCATTGTCGCCAGAGTGTAACATCCCTCTGCACACGGTTAGAGGATTCTCCACACCTACGGCTCCAAATTTACTATAATAATGAAGGAAAACAAGGGCATTCTCAAAGTTCTAGACTAAACTTTAAGGAAAACAAATGTTTCCAACTCATGCTGAAACGTGGATTCTACTGACCAAAAATGTAAAAGGATTCATTATGAAATAAGTCAATTTCCACAAGATAGTCTGTATATCATGGCTTCCTTGGAATTTTAGTAAGCTAACCTAGGATTAAAACCACCTACTATAACAATGGGAGGAGCTAGGTGGAACAGTGGATAGAGTGGTAGGCCTCTAGTCAGGAAGACCTGAGTTTGAATTCAGCCTCTGACACTTACTAGCTGTGTGACCCTGGGTCATTTAACTCTATTTGTCTCAATTCCCTCATCTGGAGAAGCAAATGCAAACCACTGTAGTACCTTTTCTAAGGAAACCCCAAATGGGGCCATGAAGAGTCAGACAGGGCTGAAATGACTCAATGTCATCAACTCTGACAAAGACTACTTAAAGAATGGACCCCACCTCATTGGTTCTTTTTATCTACACATTTAGAAGGTACTCAATTAACATCCCCTTCATTATAGAGGACTAGAAGGGGAGGGTAGAGGGACAGGGGAATTATAATGGGACTAGAAGTACAGCTGGACAATGAACAGTGGCTAATGAAGACTACTCAAAGTGAAGACTTGCCTTGGCCGCGCTGCTTCACTGGCATGTAGGAAGGCTTGGTGGTCACAATGTAGGATAAAGACTATCGGTGCTAACAGCTCATGCATACCCTTAGACGTAAGAAGAAAATGAGAAAAAAGATGTTGAATCCATTAGATTATAGCACACTACAAAGATGTATTTCTATAATCTGCAATAGCCAGTAACATTACCATATACTGCAAAAGAAAAAAAATCAAATAGCTTCAAAAAAAGTTGTCTCCTTTTAAAAAATTGTCAGTTCCAACTGAACCATAGCATTTATTCTTCTTCAAGATACAGTGAGTGGTTTTCTTTTAAATGACACAGCAGACAATAAATTGGCATGGTAGACAACCTTGCACCTGTCAGTTGCTACAAGAACTACGCTCATAAATATGAATTTCACTTATGCAAATTACAATCATGAGCTTCAGCAGAAAGATCTGCAATAAGAAGGGTAACGGAGAAAAGTAGACTGGAGGAAATTACACCCAATGTTTTCATTGTATAATGGCTCAGAATTAGGATGTCAGTAGCTTTTGAGAAGAGCTGAAGTCAGCTAGCTTAGAATGTTGGGCAATGAAAGGTCCCTACCTTATGAGGGTATGACAAAGAAACAAAGGCTTTTAAAATATAGTTTTCATTATGTTTATCTTGTGAGATATTTTTTAAAAAGCAATAAATTTTTTTCTGACAATTCAAAGGTTTTAAATTAAATTTCATTTAGTAATCTAAAAAAATAGAATTCACTACTAAAATTGTGACTTACTAATCCTAAGGATTAATTGAATATAATTAAGCAACAATATTTAATGTTAAATTAGTAAGATGTCCTATTATAGTTAAGATCATTTGGTGGGGAGCATGGGTAAATACACTGTTGTATGTGAATTTTCTAGATAACTTAATCATTACCCCCACATGACAAATTTTTTCCATTTTGAATATTTTTGATGGACATCTTGGCTCTCTTCTAAAACAAACGTTAACAAACACAATTTTATTTTACCTTAATGGCTCAAGATCTTTGTCATGAACATCAATTAATAAACTTTTTGAATACAGAGATACTGCCCCCAGGGACCACTTAGATATTTAAGTAGAGTTCCTACACTAAGTGCTACTCGAGTTCTTGGGTCTGCTTTTCAATGCAGCTTTCCCATGTCTGTATTCTCCAGGATGCTCACACTGGCCTACCAGTCATTCATTGAAGTAGGCATCCCATCTCGTGCCTTTGGGTTTTCACATGTGGTTCCACATTTCTGGAAACAATTCCTTCCTCATCTTCACTCCTTAGAATCTCAAGCTTCCTGCAGAGATCAGCTCAGGGGCCACCCCATACACAAAGCCTTTCCTGATTGCCCCATTTGGAGGTGCTCTATCTACATGTAATATCCCACCCATCAAACGGATCCAGCAGGAGGAGGCAGCCAGGTAGCCCTTCTCTAACCTTCGTTCCACTGTACCCATGCCCTTTCCTGTTCCTGGTTAGACACTGACACCCCACCCCCTACATTCACAGTCCTCTGTGAGGAGAAGGGTCATTCTATCCCACTATATCCTGCCAGGTCACCAGCCTTCTCCTTGGGAGAAGGAAGAACAACCGTGCATCAGTCTCCTGCCTTCTATCACCACATCTTTTGCCTGGGCGCCGGCCAGTGTCACTGGATTGACACTGAGTCGATTAAGAGTATGAGTTGAGGTGTAAGAAGGTGCAAGAAGACTGGGAAGGCAGGAGAGGGATAAACTCCTTACTTGTCCGCCAGAATGATGCTTCTGAGCCTCCTTTGCTAGCTCTTTCCATGTCATGCCCAATAACTGCAGGGTATCTCCAAAGCTCTATTTTAGGTCCCCTTTTCTTTTTTTCTCTACATACTTGATGATCTTATCAGTTCCCATAGATACAATTACAATCTCTAAGTAAAGCTTTCCAAGATCTACATATCCAGCCTTAATCTTTCTTCTAAGCCCTAATCCCAAGTTTCCACCTCACTGTGAGACATTTTAGCCTGGACAGCCTGTAGACATCTCAAACTTAACTTATCCAAAACAACAGTCATTATCTTGCATTTTTTCCTGAACTTACTCCCTCCCCCCCAAACAATAATCACTTCCATATGCTAAGTAGGACAGAATATAACAATTATATATGAAACTGTTAATCTCTATTATGGACTACTTGCTTTTTAAAATATGTATAATAAACTTAACGTTAAAAAAAAGGATACTGCAATGTGCAATGTCTAGGCAAGAGGTGATGAAGACTTGGATTAGTGTGGTGGCTGTGGAAATAGGGAAGGCATGCATTTCTTAATTGCCTCTAATGTGTTAGGCAGTAGGACTACAGACACAAATAACACAATCAATACTTTCAAGGAACTGACATCTACCTGGACGACGGCTATCCTTCAAGAATGCAACTGAGAAGAGTAGGTTAAAGAGTGAGTAGGTAGTAAAGAAATCAAGGTCCTGGGCATAAACAAGTCAGGAAGCAGGAAGTTTGGTAATTATTCAACATGAAAGTGAAACTGATACAGTGAAAGTTGTGCCATTTGACTCCGTACAAGAATTCAATACTTTTAAATTCACTATTAAAAATTCAAGAGTCTATATCCAAAGAGAAAAATGAAGAATATAATAGCCTCTATATTGGATTAGCTAGGGTTGCTAAGTAGTTTTTAAAGTAAGTTAGATGTCTGCTCTAACAGATGAAAAACAAATATTTATATTGTATGATCAAAATATTACCTTTTCTTTTACTTGCAGTTCCAGAAATTAAGAGGAGAGACTATTTTAATTATGATGAAGTAAACTGAATTATTATTTTTAGTTAACTAGCTTACAATACCTGACCATTCTATAAAATTAAGTTTTCTAATCTACATCAAACGTCAAGACAAAGTATAAGAAATTATATATGGACTCTATTATGGACAAGCAATTACGGAAATTTGTCCATAGCACCTTTTAAAAAAGGTTGATACACGAGTTTGACTTTAATAGTTACTTCCCACACACCCTCATAAAGAATATTCACTGCAAATGTTAAGCAAAACTAATAGAGCACTAAGATTAGGGTCCATTGCTTTCCACTTTTCAAGTATACTGAACGATAACAGGAAAAGAGGATGCTACCGTCGTAGTATAAACAGTTCTTCTGGTTCAACACGCTTCTCTATGTATCAGTTCATACAAGTCTTCCTAGGTTTCTCTAGGCTTAAGAATTCGGAGCAATGCAATTTCCAGTAACTATTTCAGAGGATCAATGATGAAGAATGGTACCCAACACCTAACGGAAAAGTGATGAACTAAATATGCAGAAAGAGACATGTTTTTGGACAAGGACAAAGTGGGGATTCATTTTGCTTGATTACGTATACATTACAAAAGTTTTCTTTTCTCTTTTTTGGAGGGGGGAGGTGCAGAGGAAGTGGAAGGAAAGGAAAAAAAAGTCTTGTTAATTTTAAAAATTAATAAAAAGAAAAGAGGAAAAGACACGCTTTCATTCTAATAGCTTGTTATCAATCATGTTGGTTGAATTTGCCTCGATTTTGGTTTTATCTTTTCAGGGTTGTCTTTATTTCAATTTTTCTAGTCCTTGTGTATACTGTTCTTTGGACACTGCTTTCTTCACTCTGCGTTACTTCATGTAAGTCTTTCTATGTCTCTGAATTTTTGAGATTTGTTATTCTTTAGAACATAACCACACTCTATTACATTTATATATCAGAGTTTGTTCAGCCATTTCCAAATGGTTAGGGATATACTTCGATTCCCTCTCAATTGTCATTACAAATAATTCTTTAAAATTTCTGTACTTGTGGGGCTTTTTTTGTGATTATTTTCAAAGCCTCGATGAAGAGCCAGCTCCTAATCAAAGCTTTTTCTTACTACTGAGGCCCCTCCTGGCAGGTCTTTTCCCTACCTGTCTTACTTTGTATAGGCAGTTTGTACTTATAAACTATTTGTATATACCTAGATTGTTTATGAGGTCATGGAAGCTCCTTGAGAACAAGAACTGTTTTGTTTTGGTACCCATAGGGTCTAAGCATACAATGTTTATCATATGGCAAGCACTTAACTGATTAATTGAATCTTTGATTATAATCAGCACTACAGCAAACAGGATGAATGTCTCAGTAATTTTTCCTGCAAAATTCCAGGTTGTTCTTTCTAACCAGTTGTACAACACAATTCCACAAGTAAGGAATTAATATACTTATCTTCTTATAGCATATATAATGTTGACTTTTTGCATCTTTAATGCTCTTTTTCAATTTGATGGCTGAAATTTTTTGTTAGTTATTTTACTTTGCATTAAATTATTGGTGATTATTAATGATTCTGAAATTTTTCATAAATGGCTGTGGATAGTTTATGTTTCATTCTGGGAAAATTGTACATATCTTTTGAGAACCTATCTAATGGAGAATGCTACTAATTTTCCTAATACTGAACCATCCTTGCAACCTTGGTATAAACACAACTTGATCATAATGATTATTCTTGTATACATTAATAATATTTTATTTAATATTTTGGTTTTGATGTTGACTAGTGATAATGGTTTATAATTTAAAAAAAAAAACTACTTTATCCTTCACTGCTTTGTGAACCATGAAGAAGTTGGGTAGATTGTCCTCTTTCTCTATTTTAAAGGGGAGTACGTCTTATTTATAATAGCTATGTGCCAATTTCCTACAGATTTTAGATATAAGATTTTCATAGCAAATATTCAATGCAAGCACATTTTATACCAAATTCTTATCTTTTCTTCTAATTCTAGTTGCATGAATTTTGTTCGTAAAAAATCTTTATAATTTTATATAATCAAGATGGTCCAATTCAACTTTTATAATTTCCTCCATTTTTAAAATGTTATGGGGGCAACTAAGTGGCTCAGTGGATAGAGCACCAGCCCCGGAGTCAGGAGGACCTGAGTTCAAATCCAGACACTTGACACTTACTAGCTGTGTGACCCTGGGCAAGTCACTTAACCCCAATTGCCTTGCAAAAAAACAAAACAAAACAAAACAAATAAAATGTTAAGAATTTCCCCCTGTCCACAGTTGTAAAGATTGTCTTTTAT